TCCCGATCGCGAATTGGTGAAATTGACGAAAAATTCAGGTACAGAGAAAAAGTTGTCTATGTCTCGGACTTAGACAAGTTTTGACAAACAATTTTAAAGATTTCGGACATAGAAACTTTTGTAACACCTCCAATTTTCATAACTCTGGGACCTACATTACTTTTCTAGATAGCAAAATTTTCCAAGTTGGGAAGATTATGGACTTAGAACATTTTGCATGCGTCTAGGACTTGAAATCTCGATCTGGGATCAATTTTAGACCAATTTTTAAATGCTGGGACTCAAAAATTCGAGATCTCCAAGACAAACAAATTAAGAAAATTGAGCGACTCGGAAACATTTTCATGTTTGAAATATATGTAAAGTAAGTTAACAGTCCTAGAATAATTTAAATGCTTCTGAAACGTATGATCTTGGACATATATTTTTGTTTTCTTAAATCTGGTCTTGGCATTTTTTTATTGTAGATGATAAGCCTCGATCTTTGAACTACTTTGTGCTACCGAGCTGCAAAGAATTTTTAAAAATGTCTAGAGCATGAAAATTTTCCTAGACTATTTTTCGAAATCCAAGACTTGGAAAACATTCATGATTACGAAGAGAAAAAGCCAGGATATTGGGACCAGATTTTCTTTTCGAAACATTAGGCAGTTTGTGATGAAAAGGTCTATGCTAGTTCAAGATCACAGGCAAGGCACTTTTGGATGAAAAAAAAATGACTTTTTAGTGACTGGCTTGAAAATAGTGCCCTAGCCACTAAAAAGTGACCTGATATCAGCATAGCACATTTTTAAATCTTACATCTTAAAACCTTCAACAAAGCCCATAAGGCCACTAGAAACGATTCATATGGTTACTAGATTTTGATCGTTAGACTCTGTTGTTAGCCCATAGGATATCTAGAGTTCACGGAATCCATTTGTAAGCCTTTGAATTTGACCAATAAGACCTATGGGCTTTTAAGACTTCTTCACTTACCTCATAAAACTCAAAACCTCATTGTTACCAGGCTTCTCATGCAAGCGTTTTGCCTTAGTATTCTTTGAACCCGTATATAATCAGTTTAACTCATATCAGGTAAATCGTTCTTTGTACAGATATGAGATTTGAACTCATGATCTTTAGCCTGAGAGGTATGGATGCTTACCCATCCCCCTAGGTTGTAGGTTGTAGCTAGCTTTGGGAAGTTAAGAAAATGTCCATCCCGGATGGACCGCTCCCTCTGCCTTGGCAATGCCATGCCTTAAGATGAAAATGACCTAGTGAGTTAATAAATATTTAAAAAATGATAAACTCTGAGACATCACTTCAGATTGGACTGGAAAAAGTTCTCGTCGTTTTGTGCGAAATAATAAAAGGAAAATATCGACGAGAGCTTTTTACAATTTGAAGTCATGTCTCAAAGATCACCATTTTTGAAATTTTCATTTACTCGCTAGGTCACTTTCATCTTAAGTGAGTAGGTTATCTGTGAACCGGTTGGCACGTACACCATCAATTTTATTGACACTATTTTTACCCGGGAGCTGCCTGCTTAAGACTCGCCTGCCACAATCCACTTCGGAAGACCGTTGAAAAGTCAATAGCCGTGCTTTCCTCATAAGCAAGCAAGCTTAACGAATTGAACTAATAGCAGTACTTTAGATTTAATGCTTTCACCCGAAAACAAAAACAAAACATTAGTGCTCTAATATGTTGAATCAGATTGAGTGTAAGAGATTGCACACTTTGTAAAACTTTATCTGATGCATCAATTTGTACAATAAGAAGTCGAAAAGTATGGCTCTAATGATTACAAGGTCAGCGAATCTTTTTGAAGGAGACCTTAGAAGACATCTTAGGATTCTAAAAACTTTTAGTATCAACTCTCTATTAAGGTACAACGAAGACTTGATGGAGAAAAGATACATTTTCAATCGACTTTTTCAAATATTTGGCCCTGGGCGTAATTCATGGCAATTTGGTGGTCCGGTTATTCGTGCAGGATCGATTGTTTTTTTGAATAGATGGCACAAGATTGAACAATTAGGTAGGAGCAGGAGTAACTGACCTCGGGATAGACCTATCCGTTCCTTTGGACAGATGGCCAACTGTGTTCCAAGCTGAAATCCAAGCAATTTTAGAGTGTTCTATTATATGTTTGCGTAGAAACTATAATAGTTCAAATATATGTATCATGTCCGACAGTCAAGGTACTCTAAATGCTTTAAAGTCAGCGACATGTGCGATAGTAAATCAAAACTTTTCTGAGAGTGTGTCCAGTCACTTCAAAACAAGTTAACTTATATTGGGTTCCTGGTCATTGCGGGATTGACGGAAATGGAAGAGCTGATGCCCTAGCAAGACTCGGCTCTTCTCATAAGTTCTTAGGACCAGAGCCCTTTTGTGGCTTATTGGCTACATCTCTTAGATTGGAGCTAAAAGCGTGAGAATCTTCAAAAGTGGAGGAAAACTGGAAGAACACTTCCATTGCTAGGCAGTCGAAGCGATTCATTAATCCAAACATTTTTGTGACTGACAAAATCATGGAACTTTCTACGAAAGACCTTAGCATGTATACAGGTCTTGTCCGAGCCGTTATCACTTGAAACTGATTGGAAAACTTCAAAATGATGTATGTCGGTTCTGTGGCATAGAAAAGGAAGACTCGGAACATTTGCTATGCCACTTTTCAGCCATTTTCAATAAAAGACTGATCCCTTTGACATTTGGAAAACAACTCCCAGTACGGCAGTGCACTTTATTCGAAGTGTAATGCCGTGCTGCAGTAATGCTATTAGTTAAACTATGGCGATCACTCCTAATAATAGTGATACGGCATCTTGATACAACTAAAAAAAAAAAAAATTGGTGAATATATCACAATAGATCAGAAAAATGGTCGCAGTGATGAAAATACCCGACCACAAAAAAAAAACGCTAAAATATCATAAATTTAAGCTCAAAATCTCAGTCCCCATTAGCTTGACGATTTCTCAAATTGGCACTATTGCATTTCGACATTAATGACCCAAAAATGCCAATTTGAAGATTGCGTAATGATCGTCGGCGTCTAAGCACTTCTCATTGCATTATTCAATGTATATAGTAGTTTAAAATAAATTCTCTGCACTGTAAACTTCTGTTCGTGCAAGCAAAATACACGTTAGAGTTTTATCTGCCTTCGCCATGGCAGGACGGTCAATTATCATCGACTTTTATTTCTACTGCTGATAATTCAAACCGTATCAATAATCCTTCAACTTCTTTTCCAAAATTCTAAAAACAAAACCTCTTTCAAATGGGAAACAAACAAAAATAGAGAAGAACCAGCCTTGGGCTGAAAGTCTCTTTAATAAAGAAACAAAAAACACAACTTTAAATTAAAATAACTTGTGGAATTGCTTGAAAGTTTTTCCAAAAATTATCGAGAAAAGCGTTATTCTCCTTCAACCGTTTCCAACTTGGATTAAGCTCTTCCTCAGGGATAAGAAAGTTACCGAAATTGCCCCGAAACTGAAAATATGATGCCATCAATAATGATAATAAATGCATCAACAGTCAAAAGCCAGGAAGAAACATGAATTCCGGTGTTAATTTCCATAGCACATAAACCAATAAAAAAAAATCCTATTCACTTCCATTCAACCGATATTCACTCCAAAGATTGTTGGCATTCCTTCGTGTACAATCCGAACAAACAGAGATCGCTTGTTCGAATGACATTTATCATCGTAGTGGCACACAATTCCCGATCGATATATGTATACAATCTGGTTAGATAGCTACGAAGCACATCTCATCGACACAAAGCAGAAAGCTGAAATCGAGCACAGTGATCGAGAATAGCAAAGCAGGTCAGCATAAGGGAAAAAAAAACTTCCATTCATTGAGCGCCCCCCTCCCGCATAGGTTTCCTCCTCCACTAGTAGTGTTGTAGGTACCTACCAACCAACAGCTATTTAAGATCAGCTTTTCTAGGTATCCTTCTGCCTCTCGATCTTGTACGCCGCAGCAGAACGAGTCAAACAGGAATAGTGAAACAATCGAGAAAACTACTTTTAACTAGCTTGCGCCGCCATCCAAGTAGTATCAGAAGTTCAAGTCATGAGATTGTATTTGTCCCTGCGCTCCTACTTAGATGACGATGACTATCACAGTACCTGATATTAGCTGCGGCCAGAAAACACAGAGTCGATAATTGTATAGAATGGTGCACGACAAAGCTGGCTGTTTTTTTTTTTCGAGATGTGTAGCTGCGACAGAAGAGAGAGAGAGGTCAGCCAGTTCCCTGAGTTATAATGTTCATAATCGCATAGCAGTCCCAAAGAATTCAATTTCCAACCTAAAGTCGATCCCAGCCAAGTTTGCAATTATTCAATCGGACAATTTCCATGTATAAAAACCCTTCACTCAATCACACAATATCATAGTAGATATGGGACTGATTTGCGATTAAAGTCAAGTCGAGGAGCGCGCTCGTGAGTTGTTCAGAAAGCGGGTTTCAAATTCTTTTATGAATGAAAAATGTCAATTACGATTCTATAATTATAGATTGTAAAACACAACACGGCGCAGCGCAGTGCGACGCCAGCTTGTTGTTTTGTAAGCAACAGCACCGCCCCGACCACCACCACCACCACCACCAGCAGCACCGAGTGGTTGCTCTCGGAAGCTGATTCTTATTAATGAGTTTCAGAAACCCTGGCATCATCGTTTGGCATCGGTTTGTTCGATTCGACGAGAGCTGTGTCGCCTCTGCTTGTACCGACCCCGCAGGAATGTTCGAATCATACTGGCATCGATTCATAATTACTTGAACGATTCTGGTGCGCGAGCGAGCAGCAATGGTGGATGGATTCCAAGGGCTGCAGTTTTTTTGTGGGTGCTCTCCTAGTTGGAGGATAGACTTTTGACCAACAGAGGGCGACGCCCACCAGACCAAGCATTTCCCAACCTCCACAAACTAGAGCAAATATGAGCGAAATATATTTATATATATATCAAGCACGATCACTTACATAATCAATAAGCAATTAAACCGGGTTCTGGTTCGCGTTAGTAATCCAAATCCGGTGCTCTCTGGGAGTCTCTGCCGCCACTAGTAGTAGTAATAGTTGCTGGTTGCCGGTTGAAGCTTTCGTCGTTGCTGTTATCGCCGTGCTAGATCCAATGTTAATCCTAGTTTTGCGCGAAAACACTAGATTCATGATTTGCCGAACAGCAGGGCAGGAGAAAAAACTCTGTGACTTCACTTTACTAAACCCTTCTTCTCTGCGTTTGCTCCTATTGCTTCAAAATGCACTTTATCTTCTTCTTTCGTTGAAGGAATTTTTCACTTTTTTGTTGCCTTCAGAATTTATGTATGTTGTTTTCACTCAATTATTTCTTTTGGGTTGATTCATTCGCTTCGATTAGCTCACTTCTGCACTTTTTACATTTTTTTCTTCACTTTTCGCTCTCTCCTCTATTTCTGTGTATTATTATTGTTGAACTATTTGCTTTTTCTCCGAATCCCACACTCTCACTTTTGCGAAATATGAACAACTTTTATTTTTCTCTTGTGACTTTTTCCTTCTTTGTGTGCGGTTGTTGTTTTCATTCATGAAATCATTGGATCACTTTGAAGAAAAATATCTTTTCTCTTAACTTGTGCTGCTTCTTCTTCTTTTTTGTAACTTTAGATTTTTCAAATACAAATATACATATTTTCGTAATTTTCCATCTTCTTACTTATTTCTTCATGCTCTTTTTCGGTTGCCAGAAAAAAATATGAACGAAAATAAATCACTTTTCAAAACATTTTCTTCGCTCGCTCGATGCTGTGGCCGTTGGCGTTTTTTCAGAGCTCTTTTCATGCTTTTGCTGGTGCTGCTGCTTCTAGTAGTGCTCCTACCGCTGACGGCGACGACGACGACGACGATGTTGTTTTTCTGCTGCCGCTGATCTGACGACGATGACGGCGACGACGACCAACAAGAAGACGGCCGCGACGTTGTTCGTCGTACATCTGCCGTCGTGCTGTGTCTGTGGTGTCGGTGTGCAGCAGTGTGTGTACCGCGGCGCGTACTGTTCTGCATGAAAATGCTGCCGCGTCGCAGCCCGACTTGATGAGATTTCTTCTATGTGTCGTTCTCCACCGCACTTACACGGCCCCTCGTTCGGTTAACCAACTTGGTGAATATTTTTCTTCACTTCAAACGCTACTGTCACATCACACATCGAAACCAATCACCCCCAAACCCCCAAAACTAAACCTTGTTCGTATCGCGCGGACACTCGAACTTTACACTTCCTGTGTGTCTCAGAAGACTTGCATCCAATAGCAGCATACCCCGTTTTGAAACACACACTCTACTGGGCTCTTGGTAATATTTTCTTCCCGCAAATGCTCTCTGCTCGTCTCGGAATTAAATCGCTTGCTTCTCGCCGAATTTCGTTCACTGGTCGTGCTGCTGCTCTTCACAATAAATTTCTTGCATATCGCTTGTGCCACTCGCTTTCTCGCCTTGCCTTTCTACGGACCGTACGTACTTTTTTCACTTTGCGCTTCTCTCCCCCGAACCGTGTGTATGCGGTATGTATGTATACACAATGGTAATTATAGTAATTTTTCTCCTTATTCACCCAAAAAAAAATCCTACGAAGCAATGGCTATGAATACAGTCCGTCTACGATCAAAGCTCTAAAACGACTGATAAATTATTTCGTTTCAATTCGTATATTTAGAAAACGTCATGCGCAGTCGGAGGGGAGGGCGTTTCCGACTTCGGGTCCACTCGGCACCCGTTCGGCTGCATCCGCTTTCCCCAGTGTTGGTGGCAGGAAAACCCTATCCGTACACGTTGTACAATATGCACCGCCAGCAATGTTTGTGACCACCGCTTGCCGGTATGTGTGTTTTCATTCTAATGTTCCCACCGTGTGCGTGCGCTCGGTTCTCGTTCGGCTTCCGCACCAACACACACCCACTTGACACAAACCCGAGCACTCGGTCGTCGGTCGTCGGCTACAACAATGCCACGCAGCGGACATTTTTGCTACTACACACCCCACAGACCCGTTCGGAAGGTTTTTATGAATGAAAACCTCGGCCATAATGAATGGAGTAACGACGAAACGAGAAATCTAAATGTGGCCCCGGTTTCCTCTCGCTCACTCGCTCAGCTACTTCGTCGCCACGTCGTCGTCGCTCGCACTCGATCTCACTTCCCGTCGTCGTCGTCGTCGACGACGGTCGCAATGATCGTTTGCTTTTCGCTCCCCATAGCCAGCTACACAGCCATATTTTTATTTTAATTCATTCGGCCTGCCATTCAAACCGGGTTGGTATACCCCCTTTTCATTCACACGGCTGATTCGAATCCAGAAGGGAGCTGCTTTTTGCGCGCGCGCTCGCTCTCTTTCTGTCCCACTCTCGGTGTGTCCATCCGTCCGTTACTGGTTGCCATTCTCCTCTATAATATGCTCCACCGCGAAGATCGTCTGCGGCTCTGGGTTGTGTTGTATAGAGCGCAGTGAGCTTACGACACTGTGCTCAGGGGATCGCCCAGCAGCGGAAAACTGCATTCGAGGGATCAACCGCTGCTGGATCGACGTCGTCGTCGTGTGGTTTGTGTGGTGTTCTTTGATGCTTGCTGCTCTCATACACGAGGCTGCTATTGCAGCTCTTTTACACTCGATAGTGCTCCGATCGCGCGTATGCTCTGCTCACTATGTTACTGTTATTATGTTAAAGTGGGATGCGAATAGCTATACAGTATGGGTAGAAATTATTTATGAGCAGGGAATCATGTAATTCAATTGTCATGACAGGGCTGGTAGCATATCAATATTTAGTGATTTGGCCACTATTTTGAAGCCAAACGCTGAAAAGTCTCTTCTTTCGCCAAAAAGTCCCTAAAGTCACTTTTTCAAAACTAATATAGAGTGTAAAGGATTTGAAATTGAAAATTATTATGAAAATATTTAAATTGAGTACATGGCACTAAGGAAGTCAACAGTAGTTATCCGTATCTGTCAAAAAATTAACAATTTTTAACAGTGAACCGGAAAAGTTCACAGAATTTTAAAACACCCGGAAAAAAAAACTAAGTACCATTGATCGATTCTCTTCGTCGACTTCCTCTATAGTTAATAACTTGTGCACATAACCGTTTCTTGATGTGTTTGTCGTATTAGATGCTAGATAAAAGCTTCTTTTATCTATATGTGTGCTGTGCTGGCCGTGAGGATACAAAGAGAAATTCGACGAAGAGAATCTGTCAATGTTACTTAGGACCTAATGCAATGTTCAGCTTGAAAAATGTCCTTGAAAACATGGTATTGGTCTGTGCTAGATTTTCAGAAGTCTTTGAAGAATTATCAAGAAATAAAAAAAAAAAACATTCAAAAGAATTCTGATGAACGTGGGCGTTTTAGTGGAATACCTGGATAAAGAGAGAGAATTTCCATTTAATTCCACTACCATATTTACTTATCAATGACTCGTTAAGAAATAAAAGAACTAAACCCAACAAAACAACCGTGTATTGAAGAAACGACTTCTTGACGATTTTATTCAACTGCATACTTAATAATACTTGCATTATTTTTAATAATAACATCTGTCCAGGCTTTGTTAACACAAATCTGGAGAATTTATTCAACCACAACACATTGAACTATTCGTGTTGTATAAGGTATCTCGAAAAGCTGTTATTCGACTTATATGAGTTGTAACAGAGCTTATTCGATAACATTTTGGATTATTCAGCGTTTATTAGACATCACTGCTTCCCCTTAATTAAAACAGTGATGCTCTGCATACGCTTGATTCTCATGTGAAGTAACGTTTAATTAGACATTGTTATACATTTATTAAACGATTATTCAACCGTGGAAAATTTACCCAAAAATAAAAGAGATGGGGGACAGGGATGGGAGTTAGTTATTCTTTAGTAGTAATTGTTTTCATTATTTATGACGTGGCACGTACCATACAGATATTAGAAAATGAACTGCATACATATACATGCCGTTGCATGGGATTCGAACCATGTACCTTCCGATCACCTGCCACCATCCCTTTCCAAAGGGGGAGTTTGGTAAAGAGAGATGATAAAACCGATTTGTACCTTCCTAAAAACTGTCCTAGCTCGCTGTCTACTCTCTATATGCAATTCTCACACTGCCGTACTCTAAATGGAACTATCAATTCTATACTTTCATCTCCTCCTCATCTATCGTATAAAAAAAAATACCACTTTAATCTGTTATTTGAAATTAGTATCTTCAACTACAATTGCCCAATATTTTTCAATTGGGTGGAATTGAGTGCAGTTGGGTGGATTGATGTCCTTTTCGAAGAGATCTACCTTGTTGTCTCGATACAACGGTTTGGCAGCTTGCCAAATCTGGCCAAATTTTTACAGGTCAATTGTGAGCCTTAATGTACGGAAGAATACGTTTTTTCAGGCACTCCTGCTTGTACGGATTGGAATCTATAGTCTTGTTTGTCACGAAAACCTCTTTTTTTTTGTCCGCAGCTGCCAATACCTTGCCAGATAATAATCTTTCTTGCAAATGTATCAAAAAAAAAAAGAATTTGAACTTGTTGGGGACATCACCTCGACCAGTGGCTTTATAAAACTTTTGTCCGGGAAGCTGCCCATAATCCATCTTCACGTACGTATCGTCGGCCATGAGGATGCATCCTTCGTACTTTGTAAGAACTTCATTGTACAACTTCCGGGTACGTCTTTAGGCCACTAGATTCCTCTTCAGTTTGGTTGCTTACTGGCCCGAAAAGATCGAAATCCTTCTCGCTGACGAATCCTTCTGACTTCTGGCATTGAATTTCTTGGCGATATGATAATCCGACAGCCCTGGGTTTGCCCTAACCGTTCTCAACACCATCCTTAGTTCCACTATGATCTTGCCGATCAATAGTATGTCGCTTACGGAAACGTTTGAGAACACTACACATGGTCGATTTAGCTGATTTCAACGACTTTTTAAACCTGACTACGTGATTTTTAAACCTGACCACGTGATTTTTAAACCTGACCACTTTGGTTTTTCCGAGTGTCCAAAATTATTTTTCGGTTCACGGCTTCCATCAAGTATAACTTATTTTAAACAAAATTAATCGTAAAGAACTTTTCAGCACTGAAAGAAGAAACATTTCGAAGCAAGCTGCTGTTGAAACATTCCAGATCCGTACACTAGGAGCACTGCAGTGACATAAACAGTGCATTCAGATATTAAATGACTCAAGCTTTAGTCAACATAGAGGACATTCAAAAAAACCGTTGCTCATGGTACAATTTTATGATTCGCTATTAAAAAGTAGCCCCGAACCTGCTTGACAAATTACCGATATATAATACAACAACATTACGGGTGGGAGAGGGGGGGGGGGGTTCTGGCCCCCTTGGTACCACCATTAGCTACGCCAATGTCAATAGGCCTTTTTAATGCACCACCAACGTAGAGTGCGCCATGCGAGTTCGAGAGGAAATGTCAACCAAACCGTTTGTTTACATCAGGATAAGGATTTTTCACAACACAAATTAAAGCATTTTTCATTGAAAATCTTGCCAATTTCCATCAGTAATTGTCTTATTTTACGATTTTACACAGATCTGAACTGATTTGTACCTCAACTATTCACACACAAGAAATTCGGAAGATCATAACCACTAAGGCATTATTCTAATTATTATTCTAATAAGGCATTATTCTAATAATAAAATTCTTCTCAACACAAATTTTCCAGAACACCAGCAGGATCCTTGCAAAAACGATACAGAATTAAATTTTTTAACTGTAGATCAAGTTTTGGAGCATATCAGATGAATCAATTTATCAGGAATAGTGAAAAAGTGTTTCGCTTCCAATGTCTCACGGCTGAAATTTCTGCTTACAACACTCTTTTTGAAGTTCTCTTATTCACCACCAGAGGCTGAATCGATCACTTAGTTTCTATTAAAAAGGCGTATCCGAATGTTACTTTCGATGTAATGGAAATTTGCTCTTGATGTGTAATTTTGTATCAATCTTGAAAGGGGGACTGGTGAGTTAGCTTTACGTTATTTTAAGAGGGGGTGTTGACAACCGTTACTTATTGTAACATCACTGAGAAGAATGAGTCTAGTTTGAAACAACAAAAAATATGGTTGAAATTCAAACTAATATTCTTGTTGAATCAAAGTCAATATTTGTTTGTTGTAAACCAGTGAGTTAATTCGAAATAAACGACTTTATCAACTGGTTTCTACCCATATAACGGTATTGTCTCAACATAAATTTTGGTTGATTCAAACTAAGGGTATAGTTATTTTCAAACATAAACAGATTTGTTTAAACCAAAACTTAGGTTGTTAGATACGTATTATTCTTAACTGTTATCTTAGTTTGAATCAACGTAGATGTTAGGTATAAACAAACTAAATTTTAAGTTGGGTAAATACCAACCTAAAAGATATTTGGAAACGAACCAACATATTAGTTTGTCACTTCTGATGTCATCGCTCGTTTGCTTTTATCTTCGATTTGTTTTGCTTGAAATTGTATGTTTGCTGGCTGCATCTAAATCGTTTTCAATCGCAAGTCGCATTTATACAAGGTAATGTGTTTAAATTTCAGTGAAATTAGTGAATACTCGCCTAAATAATCTACCTCAAGGCAAGAAAATATGTTTTCGGTA